ACTGCGATACGCTCCAGAGCGGCACGACCAACTGGACGACGCGCATGAAGTGGGTCATCCCGACGTCCGTGCGCAAGTGGTACTCGTTTGGCGGCGCGGCGGCCGGGCCTGGCAGCGGCGCCCACGGCCTCGTCTTCTCGACCAAAGGCTACAAGAACTTTCTCGTGCTCACCGACACGTGGGGTCGCCAGGAGCAGTGGATCCACGCGATCGAGGACGCGGTGATTGGGCTCCAGTCGCGCGCGCAGGTGCAGTCGAGTGCGAACGCGCTTGCGATCGAGATCGACAACGAAGCCGACAACAGCAACATCATGACGTCACAGGACGTCCGGCCGGTCGTGAGCCCGCCCCGAAAGCGCTCCAACACGACCACATCGACCAAGACGACGGGGGAGCTGGACCTCAAGATGTTCCAGCGCGGGTGCCAAGTCGACAACCTCGCGAAAGCCAAGGGACTGCGGCTGCCGCCTCGCTTCCAAACGGACCCAAAGGAGACGCCGCTCATGAGCCTCAAGGCGCTCGGCAAAGACAACAAAATTGGCATGCGCCACGTAGCGTCAACGCCCAACCTTGCGTCGTTCGCCAAGTCGTCGTACTAGCTCCATGTACAATGCATCAGCTTTCGTTTGGTAATCGAGTTTTCAAAAGTCATATGGAGCGATTAGCGGTGTGCGTGAGCAAGCACCCGGGCTCTACAACGAAGGCTGGCGCACATGTCGTCACCTGACAACGACGTCGATCGATTCGTTCACGGATGTAGCATTCTGCTTTTGATCGACGCAGCTCGAGAGGAACCGCTACCGGAGCACATGTAATTAGAGCTGCCCTCGTCACTGACCAGATCGTTTATCCGGGGGTCCATAGGCCGGTATGGCACTTTTTCCTTGGCGCAATCCACGTCGAAGCGCCAAAAGCCTTGAGACGAGTCATCTGGGGCCTCCTCGACGAGTTCGTTCACCCTATGATTTGCTCCAACGCTCGCTTGAACTTGTTTCTTTCTCACGCTACATGCAGCCTTTACAAGCAATGCACCGTCCAAACGACGCGTGGGCTTGTATACTCCAATACGACTCGAGCAAGATAGATAAGGGAGCATTCCGTGAGCGCTCGCATGCGTGGAAAATGTCAAGTGCGCTGTGAGACTGTCGCGGCGTATTCTCGTTTAGACAAATGGCGAACGCGTCGGAAGCGGTGCGAGCGTGACCTCAAGATACACGGGAGCAATCGCGACCGTGTCCTTGCGAACGTTCAAATTGGCAGCCGGTGTCAGCGCGACACGGTACGTCGAGAGGAGGGTCGAGAGTACGACGAGCATTTCGGCCATAGCAAAGTGACTTCCAATGCAGTTCTTGTCGCCTACCAGAAGCATTTGTCTCGGGGCATACAGAATAATCGATGACGTACCAACGCCAAAGGGAAAGTAGCAAAACGTGTTGGGCTTGCCGCCTCGGAGCGTCAAGTCGGCTTTGTACACATCCGTGCCTTCAATAAAGCGCTCTACCACAACGTGAGCAGCTGTAATTCTTCTCGGAATCACCTGGAAGGAACTCGTTGGGTTGGCTCCAGTACGTCGGGTTGCGATGGATCGCGATGATGTCGAAAAAGATATCAAGCGCCCTAGGACACGCGCGATGAAGCAGTGGAAGTGGAAGGCGTGAGGTACCTTGGGGATTCCAACACTCGAGCCATCACCAAGTGGCAGCGTGTCGGCCTCAGCGGCGTGACGCGACGTCTCGGGCACCGTCGGACGCAGTCGCAGCGTTTCGTGGATGACGGCCGAGAGGTACGAGAGGTGACCGAGCTGCTCCCACGTCGGCACCTTGTCGTTGCCATCACAACGCATGCGCAAACACTCGTCGTGGACCTTGGCGGCGACCGGTGGGTGCTGCGCCACGAACGAGACGACCCAAGCGAGAGTGTTGTCAGTCGTCTACCACGACTCCAAACTGTTTTAATGCTTGTCGCACCTCGTGGCCAGCAAACATGAACATGAGAAGCAGCGCGCGAATGTCAGCCATCGGCATATCGGACGCTTGCGCGAGGATGAGGTCGAGGATGTCCTTGGGTGCACTGCCAGCCGTGGAGGTCTCCAACGCGATTAATTTTCGCTGCAGCACTCGGTCGATAAGGCTCTGCAGCACCGACTGCGCTTCGGCGCGGCGACTGTTGGACTCTAGTGGGAGGTACTCGTAAAACGGTACGAGGGCAAAGCCAATGACGCCAAACAAGCTGGGCGTGAGGTTGTTGTCGTGGAATGCCTGTATCTCGCGTGGGTTCTTGTTGCGAAGCGACTCGAAATCATAGCCAAAGGCCGCGACACCAATCATGTCCAGCGCCACCTGCGTAAACACTAGGTCACATGAGAAGGGATGAGGTTCACGCTGGCGCGTACGGTTCTTGAGATCGAGGGGCTGATCAATCGCGAGCTGCTCCATGAAGACGTCGGTGTGGTGCTGAAAGACATGGAGCATTGTCTTGACGTTGGCTTGGCCAAAGTGTGGGTTGAAGAGCTTGCGCAACGCCGCGTGCGCATAGCCCTCGGTCGTAACGAGTGTGTCGCCACCTTCAAGTTTCTTCTCGACCGTTGGGATACAGTTCTGCTTGGTTTATTACCTTGAAGAGAGTTCGAACAAGAGGCGACCGTGGGTAGTTCTTTGCCTTCGAGACCATCACGTGCTTGATCGCGTCGGCGTCCGTGATCACAATCTACGACACTCGATGAGATTGCTCAAGCAGCCACGACCTCGTACGCGGTGCATGTGAAGCACGCGGTAATAGAAGACGCGGTAGTAGCGCTTCATCCTACAAGATATTTCTTTCTGGAGCGAGGCAGGGCGTTCATACCACGAGAGGTGGGGCTTGCCAAAATTGCCGTCCTGCTCCCATGCCGCATAGTCCATCGCCTCCTGTCTGCACGCGCGTCAAGACGACCCTTTCTAGAACAAAAGTAGTGTACCCGTTGCCAAAGAGCCAGCTCGTCGGCGGTGGGCCCGGAAGGTGGGCATACGGGCTCCGCCACGCGGAGAGCAACGCCGCGACGCAGACAGCGAAGACTGCAGACACAGCGAGCGGCAGTGCTAGCTCTGTGAAAGTCTCAGTGAAAGTCTCAGTGAAAAGCATAGTTGCCGAATGGCATGTTGTGATCGGCGTCGGAGCTGAAACGAGTGGGTGACAAAGCGTGATATCTGGTGCCGCACTGTACGATGATTTTGCGTGGCTGCGCATTTGATAAAGGTGATAGCAGGTGATATCATCGACAAAGACTCCTTCACTTTAGCAACGCAAAAACCGCCTCGAGTTAATGGACAACGTCGCCAAGGTGGAAGGTCGCCCATCCAGCAAGCGAAATGGACTTACTCCGTCCACTGTAGTTTCCCTCCCTCCTGGGTGTGCGTGTCAACTTTTCGCTCCAGATTTCTCAGCAAGGCAGTCATGCGGCTACTCCAATATCTGTGGCGTGGAAAGAATTCGCTGCGCATTGCTATGGGTCCATAGAGAGACTAATTCACATTGACGCCTCTGCGACTCGGATTTTCGATTAGGAACAAGACCGACCAGCTCAAATCTAATAAGGTTGTCTATCTGTGCTGGAGCAACGAAAGCGAGACCTCGAGGAGCATGGGCGCGATCGTCGCAGTTAGGTTGCGCACGTTCACGTTGGCAGCCGGCGTTAGCGCGACACGGTGAGCATCTCTGCCATGGCGAAGCGGTTTCCAATGCAGTTCTTGTCGCCTAATGAAGCATTTGCTAGAACGATTTGGGTCGTCTACGACGCACCAAGGCCGAACGGAAGTAGCAAAACGTGTTGGGCTTGCCACCTCGGAGCGCCAAGTCGGCTTCGTACACATTCGTGCCTTCAATGAAGCGCTCTACCACAACACGATGCAGTGCAGTTGCTATCCTTCGCGAAATCACCTGGAAGAAACGCGTTGGGTTGGCTCCAGTACGTCTGGTCAAAGTAGATGTTGGCGCCCTAGCACATCAATACATTTGAGTTTTGTTGCTGTGTCGGGTTGCCAACAAGACCTTCGGAATGACGACACCCGAGCCGTTGCTCATGGGCAGAGTGTCGGTTTTGAGCGCGATACGCGACACGTCTGCCACGTTGGCGTCATGCGCATGGACTCGTGGATGACGGCCGAGAGGTACGAGAGCTGACCGAGCTGCTCCCACGTCGGAGTCTCGTCACTGCTACTGTACCACCGCGCACGCGTCCTGGACTTTGTCTGCGACTTTTGGGTGCTGCGCGATGAACAAGACGACCCAACTAAGTGTGTTGTTTGTAGTCTACCAGAAAGACGTTGTAAGTCCAAGCCTAATACAAATAGAGTCGTCGTACCTTGTGCCCAGCAATCATAAACATGAGGAGCTATGCACGAATGTTGGCCATCGACATACCGGACGCGTGTGCCAGAATGAGGTCTAGGATGTCATTGGGCACGTCCGTCCGTTCTGTCTCGAGCGCAGACAGCTTTTGCTGCAGCACTCGGTCGATGACGCCTTGCTGCACGGACTGCGCCTCCGCCCGGCGTCAGTTCGATGCCAACGGGAGGTACTTGAAAAACGGTACGAAGACGAAGCCAATGATGCTGAAGAAACTTGGCACGAGGTTGATGTCGTTGTACGCTTGGATCTCGCGCGGGTTCTTGTCACGAAGCGACTCAAAGTCGAAGCCAAAAGTCCAGCGTCAATTTCGTGAGCACTAGCCCAGCAGTAGGGTCCAAAATGTAGCGTACTGCTCTGAAGGTCCAGAGGCTTGTCGGTCGTGAGCTGCTCAATGAAGACGTTGGTGTGAATCTGGAAGACAACAAGCATCGTCTTGACACTGCCGTGGCTAAAGTGTGGGTTGAAAAGCTTGCGCAGCGCCGTGTGGTCTTGGCCTCGGTTGAGAGCAGGGTGTTGCCGCCTGCAATATTCTACGAGGCAATGTCGATCAATAATACGTCCTTGCGTCGCGTACCTTGAAGAGCGTGCGAATGAGAGGCGTTCGCTTGTAGTTCTTGCCGTTCGAAACCATGACGTGCTTGATCGCGTCCGCGTCCGTGACGATGACGTACGAGTGACTTGCGGATTCAGGCAAACAGACAAGAAAGTATCGCTTGTACGCGGCGGATATGAAGAATGCGATAGTAGAAGATGCTCCCGTAGCGCTTCAGCCTAGACTATTAAAAAGCTGGGGTACCATGCATAGGCGTCGCGTTCATACCACGATACATGGGGCTCACCAAAACCGCCGTCTTGCCCCACAACGCAAAATCCGTTGCTTTCTACAGTACAACGGCGCAGTTGTTGTTGTTGAAGTGGGTCGTCTATTACAATAGATAAAACTATGCTAAATAAATTTGTCGGACATTC